ATATTTGAATAGAACTATTCTACACAAAGTACCCTTTATTTTTGATGTAGAATCCGAAAAAAATATAAAAAATGTGTGTTTCCATTTAAAAAACCAAAGTTGGTGTCTGGCCAGGAAAAGTGGAACACCCTGTATAGTTGAATATATTTTTAATTTGTACATTCCGAGAAATGTGACAACAGAGTAAAAAGAAAAATCCATATATTCCTCATTTTAACATAGATATTGGACTTTCCCGCACTAGTGGGACAAGCTGTATAACATACTATATATCTATAGTATGTTTGTATATATTTTTTAAGTTATGAGAGATTTATACAATTTCCTTAATCTTCAATCAGTTGTGGATCATTAAAATTTACTTGTGGAAGTCGATGACCTGCATCATTAACATTATTGCACGACTGCCACCCACAGAGGGCGTAACACAATGTTTTAATTGTCAGTGTTGCGAGAAACAACTACTCCGAGGGCTATATGCCTCTACTGGCATTGAATTATACTCGCAACACCTAGTGCAACAGCTAGGATCGCTCGTCAGTTTAACCCANATTAACTTGTATTTAATACTTTAAATTTTGTAATTTAAACATGCTGCAATTATTTTCAAACGAAGAATATGCTGACATAGTATTCATCTATGGGTTTTACAATGGGAATAGTAGGGCTGCACAAAGGGAATATCAGCAACGTTTTTCTGATCGTCGGCATCCTAATTATAAAACTTTGTGTAAAGTCTTCCAGTACTCAAAACAACACGAGAGGTTTCCAACTTCAAAAAATGTGGTGATAACATCCACCGGTTGGCTTTCTCGCGTTGGTTATCTAATCACCGTCTGGTCATTTACAGAACCTTATTTACAGACGAAGCGCAATTTACAATAGATGGAATAAATAACTCAAGGAACGACCATGAATGGGCAAAACAAAACCCACATACAAAACGCCAATGTCATTCACAACACAGGTTTCCTGTAAACGTTTGGATCAGGCTTGTAAATGGGCATTTAATAGGGCCACATATTTTTGAAGAGAGATTAGGTGGTAACGTTTATTTAAACTTTCTTCAAACAATCCTACTCAATCTCTTGGAAAATATCCATATTAGAGGTATGCTCTTTCAACACGATGGAGCTCCACCGCATTTTAGCACTTGGATTATGAACA